CAACCCCCTCCCTGGGCAGGCTGTTCCAGTGTCTGAAAACCTTCTCTGTAAAGAAATTCTTTAAGGGGCTTGAGCAGTTCCTCCACCCTTAGCACCTCCACAGCGTCGAAGTGTCGCAGGAGGTGTCGTGCCAGGCAGGGCTGCCCTCTCGCAGGCGCTTCATGCGCCTTACGGTGATGCTGAGGCAGGTCCAGAACTAGGGTCAGATCCTGCAAACTGCCACGACTGCTGAATAATCGCATCAAACCCCGCAGAGCAATGATGAGGTGCGTGGGGGGAAGACAAGGAAATTAAGCATGCAATAAATGTCTGTAGAATTAAGTTGGACTACCTATAAACCACAGAGAAAAAAATAATAAATCACATTTCCTCTTAAAATACCATTATAAAAACAGAGCACTCCTGTCCCGTTGAGTTGGGGAAAGGGAGACTGAACAGACTGGATCCAAGCCTTTTTTTTTTTCTTTTTTCTTCCTGACCTATTTTTGAGTTATATTCATGAAAAAATTGTCTGCCTTTCTCTCCCCGCATTTCTCTCTCTCATGGTTTTTTTCTTACACTCCTATAACTCAAAAAAAGCCATGCTGTTTTTTTTTTTTTTAATCTGTAAAAAAATGTGCTCCCTGAGCTGAAACCAAATTTCAGCCCAGAGCAAATTTTTACGGCTGGGTTATAAATCCCTGAAAAACAGGATTCATAATGGAAGTGCTGACACAGCCTTAACTACTATATAGCAGTGTGAATGGCGCCACTATAATATCTATTAGAGATTCTTTAAAAAGTTTGCAAAATATTGTCTTGCCTTGAAGAGAAAAAGAAGCCAGAGTACTTAAGGCCAACATAAACATGCTTTTAACCCATTATGTGCTAATTTGCAGAAAAGCTATTAATTCTGAGTAGGCACACAGAGCGCAGCACCGACAGGAAATGTTCTTCTAAACTCCTGTTTGACTCGTAACATGGTTTTAATCACTTCCATGAAACACAAACGACGGCTTCAAACTCCAAGCATTGCTCAGAACATGAGAAGGGTGATTACAACAGAGAGGAAAAGGGGATTTTGTTGGCGAGAGGGCTAAAGCCAACAGGGAGAGAAAGACACCAAATGCTCAAAAATGGGACTCCGTTCCCTGGCTGCTTCATTTGACTCAAAGCAGCTAATGCCAGTCATTTCCCTGTTTTATCCATCACATGTACTGCAGGTCAAGTTCACTTTCTACCAGGTGATGAGCATGTTTTCTTCTTCCTTGAACCCAGTCATGTGTTAGCACTTTGAATCTGCTAAAACAAGCCGTGCCTTGCTGTTACAGCCTGTGCATCTGAGATGATGCTGAACTGGCCCAGCTGATGCACCGTTCCCAGGGGGGTCTGCCAGGCAGGGGAGGGGAGCACTGCCCCGAGCCCAAAACACAACAAAGTAAAGTTCTGCCTTTGCAGGCTCTTGTGTGCCTCCTGTTCCTGCCTTCCCCGCTGCTCCCCTCTGCCCACGGCAGTGGTGGCTGGGGCAGGAGGAGAAGAAGGATAAGGAGTAGTTGGAGTGAGTTCCCCCCTCCGTGTTTCTGCAGGAACCTAATGAGCAATGGACGCTGCAGGATTTACAGCGTGGGTGGTTTTCTTGATGCTCTTAAGAGGGAAGAAAAATGACTCTATTTTTCCCATAGTTGGATCATCTTGTGAACAACAAAGCCAAGGTCACAGAATCATCCTGATAATGATCACCAGAGCATGAGGTGACCTAGGCCCTACCTGAGGAAGTAAGCTACCTTTCAAGAAGTTAAACAGCATTGTCAACAGTCCCGCTCACACCAAGCGAAGAAATTCTGGAGAAGAAACTCGTTTCCTCTCACATGGGAGCTGCTGCTATTTCAGCTTTTTTTTCCCCACTCCGCACGCTGACTGCTCAAGGCGGCGCACCAGACTAGCCAATACTCTAGTAAATTCCCAGATCGGGAAGAGCAAATTTCACATTCCTCTTCCAACCGTGAAAGTCAGAACACGTCCAAGAGAAGCGAATGAGAGACATCGGAAGAGCAAATTTCACATTCCTCTTCCAACTGTGAAAGTTAGAACACGACCAAGAGAAGCGAATGAGAGACACCCAGTTTATCTACTGTGCACAGTGCTGACATGCGCCCCTTCGACACACGACTCTTGTCTGCACCAGAAAGAAGTAGTAACCTGAATTTTTCTCTCTTGTAACGCTGGAGAGTGTCTCAGTCTAGAGAAATGGAAACAGAAGGGCTGGAACTTCCTAGCTTCAGCTTTGACTTTAAGTTCTCTGGGGGTGACGCAGCTCCGTCAAAAAGCATTTTGATTTTGACAGTCAACATTTTCCAGTGAAATGGTTTTCTGCTGGAACCATCACCAGGTTTACATTTACCCCTCTCAAGCAGGCAGGCAGTTATGGGCTCTAAGTACTACTGGAGACCAACAAACCTCATGGAGCCACTGGAATGCCTGGCATTCGTATTTTAAACCTTTCATGTAAGCAAGCTATTTGAGCCAGAGGACAAGTAAGCACCAGCCCTGGAATCCAAGAATCTCTACTTTGTTCCCAAGTGATGAGGACATGTTGCTTCTTCTAAAGAGCCAAAGTCTTGTGCCTTTCACAAGCTTCTCAGACCCACCAGCTGAGCTGCTGGGATACAATTTTCTGCTTTTATGCCACGCATGTGGTTCTGAATCAATAAAACCGGTGACTGTTTCAATTTCACAGTGTTCTCAACAATAGAAACTACCTATGAGAATAACTACTTGCAGGATTCAGTCCTTTAAAGATGTAACAAAATCCTTTTAGTTTTTTAAAGTACCTTCTTTCACTTCCTGCTTCTGGTCTTGATTTTCTGTCTCCAAGTCATCCTGTGCTTTTGGCTCCACCATCTCTTCATCATCTTCGTCCTCTAAATGAAAGGAATAAAAAGATTTGTGAGACTCTTTTCTGTACGCGGCCTGAAAATTGTGTATGTTCTTTATGACTATAAACTGGTGGTAAACAAACATAAAGCAAAGTACACTGTAAAGGGAAACACCTACATTTATACTTGGAGGGACACTCTCAGATGTTTCTCCCCAGACTGCAGGATAATCTGCAGTGGCACCTGCCACTTGTGCTCCCTGTGGCAACTTCCCAGCTCAGATGTCGGCCAAGTATCTCCCTGACCTCGGAGATGACTTCTCGGATGGCATGAGAACAGATGCAAGCATGTTCCAGCCTGGCAGCTATTCCACGGTTGGGACACCTGCTATCCAGACACCTCATTTCCAATTCAATTCTCACCAGATTAATTTGTCTTTTGACCTACAGGAAGGGGTTAAATAGACATCTGACCTCGGGTCAGACGTCACTAGCGAGCAAACAAGCATGGTACAGTTCTGAAAAGTCATCGCCATCAACTGGGGGAACACGGCAACCAGAAGTGGCCTTTGGAGCTTAAGAGCCATTCTTGCATTAATACGAATTTAATGAACACTAAAATCTGACACATGTCAGTTACTGCTGCCAGATGTTTTAATGACCTTTCCTGACCTATGCAAATGCCTCTCTCCCCACATGGACGTGTTCTCTTTTTATTCAGGAGGGCAAGTCATTCATTCCTTGATGTCTGTCTGAAGTTACAAGGGTTCTGATTGTCCAGATCAAGCAGAGCTGGAAAGGCAGTGATGCACCAAGGCAGCTCGAAGCCTCCCAACCCTCAGTACTTGTTCCTGGCTACAGCAACGTGACCCACTGTCCAGTGCCCACGGCCAGCACCCAACCCACTCACGCTCTTGGTGCGGCATAGGGACACTCAGCTTTCTAGATTCAGCGAGCTACAAAGATTGAAAATAGAGCTGGTCCTAAAAGAGTGAGATACAGCAATTAACAATTAGGATGAGCAAATTTGTGGGCACTGGAGGAATTATTCTGGAGCCTGATGTAGCATCAAGGCACAGCAAGAACCACTGTTGCCCTGGGTCGCTCCATCACATGAGAGAACACGTCGCCCTGGCCCCAGGGGCCAGGTTCCTTCAGTTCTTAGCAATCTGCCTGTCACCACACGGTTCCTCGTGACATGGTGCTTCTCCAGGCACACTCCCTGCTCTAACAGTGCAGTGTTAATGTGGCCTAGGAGCGGGCAAGGGGCAACGTGTCACGCTTCTCCAACTGCTCAGCCACTGGCACGTTCTCCTGAGGAGGCTGCAACCGGTCCTGACTTCTTGGGGAGATGTTGGTGCTGACAGGTTGCATTCAGCCAGCAGTCACACACAGCTCTGCTTTGCTTCCAATAATGTAATAGGTACCACACTATTCCCACCACATTGCTCACCCTCGGGCTTCTTCCTCCAGAAGCCCAGAGAGCGCGTGTTTCTAGCTGACACCTTAGCTGGAGAGCAGGACTTAGGCACGTGCCGTAAGCAAATGTCTCGCCATGGACCGGTTTGGTTTTCCCTCTTGGGAAGGGAGGAGGAATCCAGCATAGATGGGAAGGCATTTCCGGAATTAAAAGCACTACTAAAGAATGCCACCCCTTTCCCAGGGATTTTTCAGACCATGAAACTCTGAGTGGGGAAAAAGCAAGGTATTCGCGGTGCCTCCTTTCTGATGCCTCCCTTGACAACTGTGTTTTCCTAGGCAGAGCGGCTATAGAGAAGAGCTTTTAGAGAAGTCAGGGCATTTCAGTTCGGCAGGGTAAGCACATTGCTCTGTCCACTGGCTGAAAGACAGATAACATCCAACGCAGTCAGCAGAGAGCCAGCGAGAGAAGCTCTCCCACTGTACACACAGGAGGGGTGAAAAAAGGTCCTTCTGCCACCGGGTCTGCGGCACTAGCGGACACAGGGATGTCTGAAAGAAAGAGGCACTCCCAGTTTCAAAGAACAGCCGAGAAGTGTGAGAAGAGAGAGGAGGGAATACTCTGCTAACCTCAGGTACACACGCACACACAGATAGGATCACAACGTACAGATATATGCACGCAGACACGCTTATGGTAGATACCTAATGAAGCCAACTCCCACAAGGGTTTTGTGAGTCTTGCATTACGAGTTTCCATTCCCTAGAGCAGCAGCTCTTGGAGTCAGCTGTTTACAGATGGATTTCAGCTTCCATTTCTAACCTGTTTCCAACCTGTCAGCTTGTGCAGGGGAGTTTCACAAACGGGGAATGCAGGCGGCAAACAAAAAAATAAACCAACATTTAATTGAAAACCTTGGGATTGTAAAGGCAGCACACTATGCTTTTTAACGCCTCACTCGTAACTCAGGAATGGATAGGGATGATGCAGCAAATGTAGAACATGAGATTTAGTAGCGGGTTTTCAGACTGCAGTGAAATAAATTTATACATGTCCCCTAGAAGTCCTTGGGTTTGGGTGTAAAATTGTTTGCCTCCCTACAGCCCATTCCTATTTCTAAAGCAGAGGAGGAATGAGCGGCTGAGGCACAGCTGGAGCAGGGGGACGGATTGATACTCCAGCACCTATTAAGGTAGGTTCTTCTTTACTTCCCTCCCTTCCTCTTCTGGGAACAACCAAAGCAAGTTCCCCCAGATTTCTCTAAATTTAACTGCAGCAGGAGAAATAGGTAAAGGTTATTGCAACACGTGCCAAAGGGCACACACGTATCAGTAAGCTAGCTCTACTGAGAAGGTGGTGCAAGAGTTTTTAGCAGATCTGACACAGTTCAGGCGTCCTTATTTATTACAGAGAAACACATACACACAGAGAAACTCAGCTAAAAGAATGATAGGGTTGTGAGCCAAACGCTAAAATCTTAGCAAATGCCAGAATTTGGATTGCCTGGGCACGATTAGCTCCTTCCCCTCCCCACGTGTAGGCATGATGACATAATTCTGGAATTTCCTCCCTCTTGAGCGCTTGGCCTCATTTTCTGGGTGCTCGACAAGAGACACCTGGGGCCTGAAATGCAGAAGTGCTGAGAGCTGAAGTCAACTGGCCCCGTGCTTTGAGCGGAGGAAGTGCTGGGGAAACGCTACGCCTGCGAGAAACCATGCGTGTCTCTTCAGCTTTTCACTGAAAGCTGTCCTTCTGACATGCGTGTCCTCTCTCCCCCTCTGCTTCAGTGCTTTGGCATGATGGTGACAATATTGTGAAGATGACGGTATCCTCACCCTGCACAGATGTGTTGCAAAGATACATTCATCAGGATTTGGGGCGTATTAAGATGCTGTCGTGGGAGCGACAGACAAACAAAAGCTTGGAAGGGAATTAATGTTTTCTGTGTTCAGCGGAACACTTGGACCATATGCCTTAACATGAGATCTGAGGCCAGAGCACCAACTGGAAGAAGATAAAAACCAGAAGGGTTAAAGAACTGTCTCCCCACTGACTGGCTGAAAGAAGAATCTTTTAAGGAAGAAAAAAACATCTTTATGTTACTATGTAATTATAACTGCATCATCATACATATTCAAAAACACTAATTAAGGATGCCCAGGAAACCTGCATTCTGGAATATCCAGTGTTGCTTGGCTTTACAAATGGAATGTTTATTTGCTGTATTGATTTCTGAGCAATATTTCGTGCCAACGCATGCATATATCTGCTATTGTGCCTTAATTATGCATTTGACTGTGTACACACACATACACCACAGAACAACGGGCAACGCTTTGGCATTCAGTTTCCTGTGTTTTTTACCTAAATGTGCCTGCTCACATTGGATGTGCCATTGCAGTAATCGTCCAGGGAAACAAAGACATTTCTGTAGCTCCTAAACATAAATAGCCTTGCCCTATTTTAAGTGCCTATCTGGCATCGGGAAGTTTAGAGAAATAACATTTTAACCGCTTGCATGACAGTAGTAGGAGTCTTTTAGTCATATTTGGCAAACACAGAGCTGGTACCAGCGCAAGTAATGTTACACCCTGTTCAGATCTAAATCAGAATCCAAATGTCTATTAAAGGAACCACATGAAAAAGCTCTAGTAATGAAGAAGCGTATAGCTGCTATGTAATACCTATCCTTTGTAGCTCTCAAAAGACTTTGCAAGGAGGCCAGTGTTATTATGCCCATTTACCACGGCAGAAGCTGATGGACAGACCCACTCACGGTAGATCAATCAGCAGACTAGCAGCTGGGTGAAGAATAGAGGACTTGCTTCAGAGTTTCAGCCTACAGCCCAGCCCACTACGGTGACCTTGCCTTTTACCGTAAATAAACAACTCCTCAATGGAAATGATCATTAAACACTTAGGGTAAAGATGTTTGTCTGCTGAAGCTGGTGGAGCCGTATGTGGGATTAATATAGACTGACAGAGGTGGACCAAATACCGTTTCTTCTCCACTCGGAGCTTGATGACTCCCCAGGCTCTAGGAGGTGGCCAGTCAGACCTAATAGCGCTTTGTTCAACACGATGAAGCAAAGCAGAGCAATTGTTCTCAGCCTGTACTTAGCTTGAACAGTTCTGCTGCTGTTCCAGACCAGAAGGGGTCTTGTCTGTCTGAAATCTTCCCTGTTTTTCCCAACTACAGAAGTTGTTCTAATAAAAGAGTAGACCTCTCCCTACAAACCTGGTTTTGTTTAATCTGCGTGCAAACTCCTCATTTTTGAATGCTGCCCAACCACTAGCTCCGATGAGCCTGCTCTATGCCTGGCCTTTGCCTTGGGCTCCTCAAGGATGGATCGGCACTTTACGATGGCTATAAATGGAGGGGGGAGCCCTGAAAACATACGGCCAACTCCCTGGCACCTGCAGAAGAAATGCCCAGATGTGCTGAATTGGATCAAGTGTTCACAGAGAGCACAGATATCCTCAGAAAGTCAGACCCCCTATTTCTACAGAGCTGGACAGTTTACTACCTGCTTGGACTTCCCAGGGTTTTAAATCACTGCACTTATTTTTACAGCATATAAAACCATATCAGTCACATCCAGGACAAACTAGAATACAATAATTAC